CGGGGAAATCACCCCCCTAAAAAAAAAAAAAAAAAAAAAAAAAAAAAAAAAAACCTCTGAAAAATAAATAAATAAATAAATAAAACGTAGCATGGAGAGTTTGGCCCATGCCACGTTTTAGGATTCATGTTGGATGTGTCAGGTGGGGAAGATGTGACAGATGGCATGCCACCATCGGTCTCAGCAGACTGTACCAGGCTGCGCGTCTCCCCCACTGCCGGGTCTCTGGCACCCAGTACCTCTGCAGCAGCACCTGACAGATGCCCGAGGGCTACAAGCTGAATGAATTACAGCACTGATTGATGGCTTGGGAAGCACTGGCCAGCCAAACTCTTGTGGAAAACCCTCCTAAGCAGGGAGAGGCTGGGGAGATGTTGGGGCCTGGAGTTGGTGGCTGCTTTCTCTGGGAAACAGGGAAGGGTCCCTGCTGGTATATCACCTTGGGCTTGGGGTAAGGGGTCCCACAACAATTACGACCCCCGCTGGGATCCTCCTGGAGTCACAGTGGGGGTGAGGCGGTCTGCAGAGGGCTGTGCAGAAGCAAGGCAGAAATAATGCGTGTTTGTTAATGAGGCGGCCAGGGCTTTCCAAACGGGGTTCCCTGGGGACACCGGCAGAGAGGACGATGACGAGAGCAGAGAGGAAAAGTAGGCAAGTGGAAGAGGACAGGAAGGGGCTGGAGGTCCCTCGACCACGTCCCAGGGCCTTCCTGCAGCCAGAGGAGCACCCTGTGATCTACTTGAAGGAAACAGTGGAAAGACACCAGCCGCGGCATGGCGGTTAAGGCAGCTGGATCCCACAGAGCCAGTAGCTCGGTTCAAGTCCCAGACCCGGCAGCTTGAAAAACATGCCCAGTTGCGTGCCCAGAATCCTGAGAGAAAAATAGAGAAAGGATTGCAGTGTAGCCACCTCCATTCTCCTGGGGTGTGCTTTCTCACTTTCTCTCTCTCTCTCTCTCCCTCTCTCTCTCTTTCTCTCTCCAGCAAGCATGCATGCCCTATAGCAAGCAAACACACACACACACACACACACACACACACACACAATTAGGTTGAAGTTGAGTTCTTTGGCTACATGTGACTCTCAAAGTTTAAAACTGTGGAGTCTGGGCCAGCAGGTGGCGTGGTGATTAAGGCGCTGGACTCCCACACGGGCAACCATGGTTCGCATCCTGGACCTGGCAACTTGCTTTCTCACTTTCCTTCTCGCTCCCTGTCTCTCTCTGGTGAGCCTATGTGCCCTATAGCAAACTTTAACAACAACAATAAAAATAATCATTAAAATTGAGGCGTCTTCACTACGTTGTGGTTCCCATCCACCACTTCAGACCCAGACAGGGGACACTGGGCCCAAGGGCAGGGTGGTGGGGAAGCGAGCGGGCCAGCACTGGCATGCAACCAAGCCCATTGCTCATGGAGAACCCCCAGGCTGCTGGCAGCTGTGGACCCAACAGCGGTTCGGTTTCTAGAGTAACCCCCATGACGTCACTGACTCCAGAGCCAAGAAAGACACCGTACACGCCAAAGGGCAACCGGGGGCGGAGTCCACCGGAAACGCAGTACTGCGCCCTAGGGCTGGGGACGCTGATCCAGGCCAACCACACGGAGCTTCACTCCATTCATATCAGCGTGAGGATCCCCAGAAGCGCAAGAACCCAGGGGACAGTGGCTGCCAGGCGCGCATGCGCAGACGCCCGGCGACCCCGCCCACGTCCCCTCCCAGCCTCGGCCCTGCCACTCCCGCCCGCGGCCAGGAAACAGGACACCGGCCTGTCACTCCACACCGGCATGACCAAGCATGTTAGGTTCCAGGAACACAAACAGCCCCATCGCCGAGGAAACTGGGTTGTGCAGAATCAGGGGAAAACGTTCAGGATCCAAGCCGGGGCTCACCCCCCAAAGAAGGGGCGCCCTGCAGCTTAGGGGGCCGGAGCAGGACGTGGGGAAGAGCTATGATCCTCGCTTGGACCTTGGGTACCGCGGGGCCTCCCCTGGAGCTGCCAGGGACAGGACAGAGATGCCTGTGAGCTCGCAGGGGACGCCATCAGTGACAGACTGGAGACAGTTCTGATGGAGGCGGTCCAGCCCCGCGAGGGGTAAATGCATCTTCCCCACCCTCTAAGGAGAATGGTCCTGCTCTTCCTCTAGAGAAAAGCCCAAACGTAGGGTCAACTCGGGACCCAGGGCAGGGTGCTATGGTATGCAAGACGGGGCGCCAGCACCCTAAGAAGCTTGCGGCCTGGGACAGGGCACCAGGGTGGGCACCAAACCCTCCTATAGCCGGGGTTTACCAGCCTCAGCTAACGCTGGGCGCTAAGAGCCATTCTCACTGTCCTGCCGCCCTCGCTGGAAGGCAAGGAGCACACAGACAGGGTCTTGGCCAAGGGCACACACACAAAAAAAGCTGATGATGGGACCAGCAGTTGGCATAATGGCTATGTCACTGGACTCCCATGTAGCCAACCGCGGTTCGAATCCCGGACCCAGTGGCTTAAACTCACGCCGGGCACGTGTGTGTGCATGCCCAAGATCCCGAGAGGAGAATGGAGGAGAAGGGATTGTGGTGTGGCCATCCCCCCCTGGGGGATGATTTCTTGCTCTCTGTCTCTCTATCTCTCTCTGTCTTTTAGGAGAGCACATGCACCCTATAGTTAAAACCTCTCCAAAAAAAAAAACAAAGAATTATTTTTTTTAACTTTA